GCTCCACTGTGCCCTTCGTGGAGCAATGATAGTCACACAGATATGCTGATAATATTTGCATGCAGTTGCGTCCCATCCAGCGCCTGTTCGTTTCCCTGCTTCGTAGCTCCGCAAAAATAGTCTACCTTCTTATTTTGCCGTCAACGTCAGCGGCATGTCCTGCTCGTCTCGTCTCGTCTCGTCCCATCTCATCACCGAGTCCCCGAGTCTGGCGTCGGGCATTGGGTGTTGCGGGGCGCGTTTCTTTTGCCTTAATTTTGGGAGGCGAGGCCAAAAAGTGCATAAAAAATCTGCGGCGAATTTGCAATTTGAATTTGACTGTAGCTATAGCCATGACTGTGGCTGCAACTGTCTGCCTCAGCCACGCGCTCGCTGCGTGTCCTCAGCATCGCCTCACCTCGCCACAGCCATAGCCACGCCCCGTCCTCGCCCTCATCCTCATCCTCGTCACCATGCTCGGTGTCGTTCAATGTGGCGCCTTTATTGAGAGTTCATAAAGATGCGCTGCTTGGCAGCCAGTCAGGCGGCTATTTAGGAAGTAATTTTCGCGCTCGCTGTCTTTCTTCGCATCTTGTGTTTTTTTTCCTTTTACTCAGGCACGCCTTTAATGCATTTTTAAAAAGCAAATGCGCAAATTGAAAGCACGTGGCTGTGGCTTCTTCGTCTGCAACTGTCAGTTGACAGTTGGGCGAATGTGTCCTGCCTGCCTGCCTGGCTGTCTGCCTTCCCTTCCCTTCCTCACCTTTGTTTGTGTATTGCACTCAAAAGCTAATGCATATTTCAAGGCGCTGACAAAGCGCTGATATCTCCACACACACACACACAAATATATACATGCATGCATATATATATGTGAATGAATATTTTACCTGTAAATGGCAAGCAACTGCGTCAAAAGTCAACGCTGCTCATTTTCATTATTTCAATTTCAATTTTCTTTTTATAACTGACCCCACACACAAACATTATCATACACACACATACACAGAGAGAGAGATACACACACACACATCGTCACACAGAAATAATCTCGAACTCTTTTTGCAGCTTCCTTATAATAATGCCTGAGCTCATGCCACAAGCACGACCACAATTTAATCTCTGAGGCATTATGAACCACCCACACCACACAAACAAAGGGATGAGACACCAGCCACAGTGGTTTCCATTACATCGGCATATTTTGTAGCATTTTGAATGCAAATATGTTAATATTCATGGGCAGAGAAACCATTTGCTCATAAATGTGTCGAGTATTCATTTATTTAATTTCATTTATTTTCCGCTTATCTAAAAGGGAGACAAAAGGAATTCTATAAAACACCTTCATTTCCGCTTTGAGAAACCTTTTTATTTATTTTACAAATTGCACACATATGCCTGTGACTGGACATTACTTCAAGGACAGATCCAGTAATAGTTGTAACTTCTATAAAATGTTTCTATAAAATGTTCACAGATAAACCGATATTTCAAAGCTTCAGCGCGAGCATTTCAAAAGTTATTAGGAAATTATAGTAGTAAGAGAGTAAATAGTAGTTTTTAAAACATCCCGAGATTTAAGTCGCATAATAGGTTTACGTAAATACCAGGTTTCGTAAATCTTATGCATTGAGCTTATATTCTTTCCAAAATCTTTGCATTTAAGCATTCAAACGAACCAACAGATGTAACATTGTAGATCAAGTGGAAAGATGTAGATGATCCAAAAAAATCAAATTATAAAGGGGCAGAATACGTTCGAAAACACTCGAACACTCTAGTAGTACAATGCATTCATTCAACTACATTTATTAGTGGTTGGTAATAAGACTAATTGGACTGTTGCACCAACAGACATCTCAATAAGAATATCTTACTATTCGAATTAGTTATATTTACGTATGCATAATATTTTAGTGCGGTTTGAATTGGTCATGGATTTGTAATATTATTTCTGCTGCTTACATCACATTAATACTTTAGAAGAATACACATTTCTATCAAAAAATTTAATGCAGTTTTCATATTTAGGCGGAATATGTATTATTAATAATTAATCGCGGTGAACCAACTCTACGTACTTAAGGTCTCTCAAATAAGTAATTAGATTATGCGAATTTTCTTTTCTTCGCCAAAATTTCACATTTGTCAATTAAGTTGTCGATATATCCTCCCCTCTTGTAAATTAAACTTAGTCCACATTTTTCGCCATATTCTGCCCCACTGTGCATCGCTGCTTTTCAACATGCTGTTTCTCTTTGATAGGCACCCACGCTTCGGTTTTGTATTTGTTAATAAAGTCGCTGGCAGACTAAATTCAAATTACGCACACATCTTAAGAGTGCCAAAGTAAGCGCGAGTGTTGACGTCGACGTTGACGCCGACAGTGGCAGAAACAGAAACAGAGACTGAGGCAGAGGCAGAGGCGGAGACAGAGGTTGGGGCAGAGACGCGACATAGGCCAGCAGGCGCCCATTTTCGCTTATAGCGGCTCATTATGTCAGTCTATATATTCATATACACTCCTTGCATGCATGTCTGCCATCGTTGTATGCGTGAGTGCGTTCGAGTTCCTTTAACCTACACACACACACACACACACACGCACTCACACCTTTGCAGGCAAAGGCCTCGACAGTGCTGGCAACGCCATCGCTAGCTTCTTCTAACTTGGCTTGTCGTAACATTTCATCTTTATTTTGGCATTATTCCCATGGCGCCGCTTATTGTTTTTGTGGAAATGGCAGTGGCAACCAATTAGAAGCGTGTGCAGCACCTCGAACGACACGGGAAAATGAATGCTGGCAACATAGTCGCACAGTGCTACCAAATTTAGAGCTGTACTCACTCAACTTTTTCCCAAAAATATGTCTCCATATCGCTGTCTTAAAGGGTAAAAATAAGGGTTTAAGGAAGCCAGATCGCTATTAAATTAAATGAATACATTTTAGATATAATGCCGGAGAAGCTAAAAGTAATAGGACTTTGGCTCGAAAAAGAAAAGGCATAAATAACATAATTTTTTACCAAAAACGAGAAGTCGATAGCCTTAATGGGCAGAGAAATTAGATAAAGAGTTATTGAATTAATTTCTGTACTAATTAACTAATTAACTTTAAAAGAAACATTGGACCATTAAAAGCTTACATATCTATACATTGTTGGCATAAATTTTAGTTACACAGTATAATTGCCTCCAATACTTTGCACAGACTTTTGAGGCAGCTATCCTAAAAAGGCAGCTAACATAACTCTAACTCTAAGTAAATTTTATATACTTCTTTCATTTTCAATGCGGTTTCAGTAATTAAGTTGATATTATATATTTTAACCTGCATAAAATTGCATTAAAATAATCTGTAATTTTTCCTCAAAAACCCAAAGATCAACAGAGACCAGCAATATGCGTCTAAACTCTAATTCAAATATATGTGTATGTATGTATATACTTTTTTGGGACTGCCACGCCTACAATGCTCCATACTTCATTACCTTACATTTTTTAAGAGAACTCGTACGCTCTCTTGCTTTTCTGATTGATCTAACTGCGCTCTCTTGGTCCTTTGCAACAACAGAATCAACACACATGTAGGCAAATTAGCAATCTGTTATACAACATATTCGGCAAGCTCTGTAAATTGAGTTTTTTCTTTCTGTTATGTTATGGTTATATTTTGGCTGCTAATGTTAAGGCCACTGTGAGGGAAACCTGCTCATACGTTTGCATACATACATACATATATGAAAAAATCATTAATATAAATCGCTGCGTACTTACATTTACATACAGATTAATTGCGATCGCTTTAATTAAAAATTATTTTCAAATTGAACACCTTTACTTATTTAGATCATATTTATAAACACTTAAAAAATAAAAACAAAAATTGATGCACACATACATACATATGAAAGTATGTATGTATTTATGTACGCAGCACATTAATCGCGCTGTACTTTCGCAATAATAAACACACATTTTGCACACTTCACACACAACTTAACATGTACACATGCTTTTGCATAATATTTCTAATATTTAAACTATTAATTAAACATTTTGTCAGAGTTTCCGGCAACTCCAAAAAAAAGCGCGACGCGTTCAACAGGTCGAGATAAACTAAGCGTTGCATTGCAGCTGCAAGCAGAATGCTCTCTGCAAGAATGCAAATGTAAAGGCAAAGAATCAAAAATCATAACTGTAAATCCGCTTGCGGGAGTTGTGGAAAATAGCTAATTGCGTGGGAGAGGAGGGAGTAAAAAAATATAGATGGCGCAGCTAACTTTGTAGCATTCATAGAATATGGCAAAATATTACTGCCGATATGAGGCGATTAAGTGCCCCAAACGTAATTGTTTTCATACTTTTCAACCTTTTCATCTCTCGCTCAATCCTTCTCTATCTGAATTCTTGTTTCCCCATTAAGTATAAAACCGCATAAAACTATGTACAAATAATTGCCATTCGTGCAACAGTTGGTGCCACTGTGCGGCAAATTTCTCTAGCTAGGCTCTAGACAAAAGGGTCCAACAGCAGCAGCAGCCTTGACGATTCGCATTTTCTTCTGAATGCCCGAAAAGCATATTTTTTAATTAACTAATGGCTGCTTAAATTCGGGCTTAAATTATGCCGTTAAGCTTCGCACTTCGTACTTGTGCGTATGTGTGAAAGAATGTGCGCTGTCAGTTTACAGAGATGACAGATTTTAAAGCTCTGCGTCAATCAAAAAAATATATTACACACATGTAGGCCAATTATGTTGCAATCAACTCCAACCGCAAATGGCAGCGGGGAGGCTATTAATAAACAGTTTAATTTTATTTTCAAAAGCTACGCTTAACGGCCAAAAGCTGTCGCGCAGCGTATCGAAAGCTCGTTGATATGTCATTTGCATTTAAAGGTCTGGCAGGCCTGCCAAAATTCGAAATAGCTTTTGGGCGCGCAGATTCGTATCGAAACGGCAAGTTCGGCCAAAAGAACCAGCATATATTGCATTTTAATTTAATAATAAAACGTATTGCTCTTTTTGCTCTCTTCATTTAGTTTCATAATGCAACATAGTCAATTGTTATACTCTTTACATTCAAATTCATCATTTACATCTGTTTAACACTCTAGTTTACATTTTGGTTTATCCATTTCAACAGCTTCTATTGTTTAACTATAGTTACTCAAATTTCTTTTATGTTACAAAAAAATGAAAAGTGATCCATATATTGTCTGCGTAGCGACCCTATCCATAATAACATTATTCCTTTAATGAATATTTGTATAAAAAAAACCAGCCATCGATCTTATGATTACTTCTTCAAGCTCCAAGCATTGTTGCTAGGCACAGGAACACGTCGCTGTCCAGACTCACGAGCCAAAACCTCCATGATGCTGGTGGCGGGCATCCAGGACTGCAAGGCCAATTCAGAAATTAAAGAACATTATATTCACAGCGTACAGAAATTCTACTTACGCGATCCTTAAAGGCAGTTGCCACCACATTGCGATTAGGCTCCTTGTCATACGAAACGGATTCGATGCCAAACATTTCGCAGAGCTCGTGCACCAATTGCCGCTTCTCCCGATTCATTGTCGGGAAGGAGTGGGAGCGCGACTTTTGTTTGCTCTCCTTAGCCAATTTAACCAGATCGGTGAGCGTCTCATATACGGACTTGACCAGCACCGGGTTACGTTTGGCAAAACTGCGCACGAAATCCGAATACTTGGTCAGCAGCTTCTGTTGTACGTCCGGATTGCGAATTTGCAGCCCAATGGCAAGGCGTCGATTGCGCTCCAGCACGCGGCATTCATCGCTACAATCGAGACTGAAAGAAATATAAATTGATTATAGTATTAGTGAAGAACCATTTCTGATAGAAAGTTTGTGAAGAGCTCCTATAAACAGTCAGATTCACGAAATTGCGAAATTTATGTTCTCAAGAAGGCTTACATTTTTGTTAACCTGATCTGAATGCTTTGGAGAAGCTGATTAAATTATTGACACTTTTAATAACGCTTCTTTGTGGTCTGTCTCTGGACTAAGTTATTGGAATATTAATTTGATTTATTATTGATTGGACACAAATTTATTGAGGTGTTGAGGACTAAGTTTTGAAAAATGTAATTCAAAATCTTGTGAAACCATCTCTATTTGTTTTTCTAAAACATTCCCTGATGGCTGTAATATTCAAGTTTATGCATGTTCCTATTGAGAGGAATTTTCCTATTATTCCCTGTTCTAATAATATTTATAATATAATATAATTTCTACTCACGTTCTATTGGTCTTGTTAATTTTGACCGGCGCTAGTATTTCGCTCAGCTCCATGTAGTTTCCACGCGACATTTCGGCCATGGACGAGGCCAGCTGTGCGGTGGCGATGCGACTGTACTCTCGGGCCAGCTCGTGGCAGCTGCGATTCTGCTTGCGATTGCCACACTCGCACTGCACCTCGACGAGCTCCTTGCAGGGCGTTTCCGGACAGGCACCATCGTGACAGGGCGCCGCACACTTGTGGCCACAATGGGAACGCACTGTGGTGCAACTCTGGCGGCAGATTTCTCCCGCTGCCGGCTGGCAGGGACCCTCGTGGCAGGGCTTGATGCACTTGTGCCTGCCGCAGGGCAAGGCCTTTCCACAGGCCAGGCCGCAGCTGAAGTTGGCCTGCGAACAGGGAATGGTTTTGCGCTGTTCATGCTGTCCGTGGCACCACTTGGTTGTGAACATCATGCAGGGCGGACATGTGGCAGCCGCATGGCAATTGTGCTGTGGGGCATGCTCGCATGGATGCGAGCGAGAGCAGGGCCGCTTGCAGGCCGGTTTCTTCGTGCCACACGGCACAGGCGGATAAATGACCTCGGCGCCACACTCACAGTACAGCTCATCGAAGGAGGAGCGGTAGCAGGGCGGGCAGTTGCCACGATGACAGGGCTGGTCGCATTTGTGCTTGCCACAGCTAAGGGTGCGATTGCAAGGCAGCGGGCAGGCGTGGTCGATGTCGATGCAACACTCCTGATTGCATTTGTGTTTCCCGCACGAGCGCTTCTTTGTGCAGCGCTTCTTGCAGCGCGCGTCGTCGGCGCGCGTGGACAGCTGCCGGCACTTGATCATCTGATCCATGTGGCCGCAGCGGCAGCGCACCGCTGTCTGCTTGTTGCAGGGCGGGCACTGTCCCAGATGGCATTTGCTGGCGCATTGGTGGGGATGCGCGGGCTTGCCGCAGCGCAGTGTTTTGCCGCACACGCCCTCGCAGGTGGGCACGGCATCGAGGCAGGAGGTGCGCTGTTTTGGTGGCACCTCCACCTTGCCGCAGGGACAGCTGCTGACCTGCTCGGGACTCAGCTTGCAGGGGCGGCAGTTGCCGGCATGGCAAGAGTCCTTGCATTTGTGATTGCCGCAGGCCAGATCCTTGCCGCAGGGCTTGCTGCACGAATAGTGGCGACGGTCGTGCGTCTCTCGCGTGCACAGCACCTCACGCTGCTGCTTGCCGCAGTGGCAGCGCTGCTCCAGCTTATGCTCGCAGCTGGCGCACTTGCCGGCATGGCATTTCTCCTTGCAGGTGTGCTGCTCGCAGTTCAGCAGCTTGCCGCACTCCTCGCCGCAGGCGATCTCCTCCTTCATGGCGCACTGCATCGTCTTGGAGGTCTTGCCGCAGCCGCAGCTGCGTTGCACGTTTGCCTGGCAGGGCGGACAGGGACCCGGATGACACAGCAAGGTGCAGGCATGAGCACAGCCTTCAATGCGACAGCAGAGCTCCCCACAGGAATGTGGCAGCTCGGTGCGTGTCAACGGTGGATTCTTCAGCTTGCCGCAGAAGCAATAATATTCGCGTGGCACATCCTGCAGGACATTCTGGCAGGCGGGACAACGCCAACCGTTCTCCGCCTTCGAGCTGGACGCCCAGGTCGTTGTGCACTTCAGATGGAGCACGTGGTAGCAATTCTGACAGGACCACACGGCATGGTGCGCCTTGATCGGCTCCACACAGACGAGACACTCCAGACGACGCTGTTCGATGTCACGCACGAGCTTCTCACGCTGCGACAGTTTCTCATTGTCCGCCTGACGTTTCGGCGACAGTTGCTGTTGTTGCTGGTCGCGCTGCTTCTCTGGCGAGTTGAGGGGACTCTCGTTGCTGGTGTCCAGCAGCTCGTCCACGCGATAGCCGTTAATGCGATCGCGATTGCGATTCCAGTCATCGCGCCGCTTATTGCTGCGATGATTATCGTAACGCTGTTGCTTCTGCGGTTTCTTCCGCTCGTATCGCTCGTCACGCTCCTCACGGTAGTCGACAAAGGCACGACGCTGACGGCTACCGCCGGGTTTCGAGTCGCGCTCTCGGTCACGATCCCGCTCCCTTTCCCTCTCCCTGTCCCTATCCCTTTCCCTATCGGTGGGGGTATAATTGTGGGCGTCGCGATATTGCAACTTGCTTGTAGCGCCCGCACGTTGTTGTTGATGATGATGTTGCTGTTGTTGTTGCTGTTGTTGTTGCTGCTGTGGTAACTGATTGGCATTATTGGCAGTTTCGATAACATTTACATTGGCCGTCTCTTGACTACCGGCAGTGTTGCTGTTGTTGTTGTTGATGCTGTTGTTGTTATTACTGTTGCCGTTGACCAAACTGTTGCGTGTAATTGCTGTGGATGTTGCCGGCGTCTCCAGACTCAGTTTAGCAAAGTTAGGCACAAATTCTGGAGCATTTGGTTGCAGCTTGGAAGCGCTTAACTCAAAGCCGGCGGCAAAGGGATTGTGACCAAACGGTGTATACAAATCGGAATATGTTGCAGCGCCATTATTGTAGTTTGAATTGCCAAGATCGCCATTCTGATAAGGCGTAAATAACTGCGGCGGAAAGCTGGCATAGAACTAAAAAGAAAAGGAAAAACAAATATAAATATAATCTAGCAGTAATAAAAGAATACATACTTATTAAAAAATATATTTAATTTCTATATTGCTAGAACTAAATCAAGTATGTGTTACAGATTAGAATTTAAGCCCGAATTGTCTGCTATTTTATGACTATAATTCAGATTAGAAAAGAAACTAACGATGTAAGCAAAAACTTTGCAATAAAGATTGATTTAAAGATGTGATTTTTAAAGAAAAAATGTGTAAATAACTTAAAAATGTTAAACATTTAAGGTCTTAATATAAAGCTTCGCGTCTATTTTTAATTTGGTTTGAATTTCACTCACAAATTTCGAAATATTGTTGAAATCGTATAGCTTGGCAAGGTTTCTATGGCAGCCACAGCTAAGAATGTTATAGTATAAGGCCTTTTATTCATTTTACTAAAGTGCGGATGTATTCTCTATTTGCATCCTAAACTAACACCTAGAGGGCCAATCAATTTTAAATGGAATCAATCGATTTTGCCTTAGCAACCGCCAGAAAAGCCTGAATAACAAAGTGGTGTATGCCGAACTCTTATAAATATATTCTGAAAAGACATTTAAGTCTTTCTTCCCTAGACAAACATGGCTATATCGATTTGTCTCACCAAACAGTATACCCTTTCAGATCTTGAGAACAGTCCGTTTTTGTAAGAAAACTCAGCTTGGTGCGACATCAATATATAATCAATATAAGCTTGCACCGTATACCCTGACTTAAGAAAGATACGAACTCATAAACTAATGAATGCACATACATATATGGTTTACATTTTTAAACAACAACTGTTTGAATGAAGTTCGTTCTGTTTTGTTTTAATTAAACCCTCAACCAGTACTTACATTTTCAAAACCGCTGGATGTCGCCATCGATTGTACTGTGCTGGGCGTCAGGCCAAACGCTCCGCCACCGCCGCCAACGCTGTAGTTGTTGCTGGCGTTGCTCCCGCTGCTGCCCAGAGGATGTTGCATTATGTTTGTTAAAGCGTTTGCAGTTCCAGCTGCCGATGAGGAGCCATTTCCACTGCCGCTTCCTACACCACCGTTTCCCCCTCCGCCACCATTACCTCCCAAATTATGCTGCATGATGAACTGATTGAAGTTCACATAGTTGTTGTTGTTGTTGTGACTGCCAACCGCATTTGCTGTTGCATTTGTGGTTGTTGTTGTTGTTGTTGCTGCTGCTTCTGCTGCGTCGTATGATTCAGCTGCTGAGGCAGCTGCAGAACCATTTGTCCACTGCGGCCAATAATCGGCCATTTCGGCAGACGCCGTTGCCGTTGCCGCGCACGCAGTCGCCGGTGCAGACGCTGCTTTCGGCGACGATGGTGCCACGTACAGCCAACTGGCCACCAAGTGTTCCGCAGCCGTTAGTGTGCTCAGCTCTTGTGCTTTGCGTTTTTTTTGCAGCCCACGCTGGCGAAAATGACCGAAGAGAAATCAAAAGAACGAAACACGTTGCTGCGAAGCAAATATAAAAACTGAGATTTAACAAGTGTTGGCAATAGTTTAAGTGTCTTTAGACTTGTCACATTTCACAACTAATTGCAACACTTACACAAATTTGTTGCAGCTTTTTACTTGGTTATTAAGATTTTTCACACGCCTTAGTGTGGCCAGCCATTCTCAATGCACTAGAGATTGGCACAGTATACAATTTGTGAACGATGTTGCGTGCTTGTGACTTTGTCACGAGCACTATATTGCCACGCGTAACAACTGTGACAATATTTCATAGCAGAAATTATTTAAAAGTCTTAGATGTGCTTTGTGGAAATAGTATTTTACACAACTTCAAATACAAAACATATTTTATTTCTTAATTATGCTACTGTTGCCAAACACATTATTTTAATTTGTTCCTTAATTTTTTTGTATTTGTGTTTAAACCGCACCATTTTTTTGTTTTATCAAAGTGCCAAGTCAAATAATGGAATATTATCAGCTTCTATCAGCACATTTTCCACAAAACACACATTTGTTCACAAGTATTTTATTTACTGCAGTCTCTATGCGAATTCGAACATTGCACATCTCTAACACTAGCGTGGCGCGCATTACATGGTTGGCAAACATTTACAAAAGTACGGCAGCACTGTTAGACGGTTAGACTGTTTTCATTCACCACATTTCACCTTATTCACCTTCGTGAATTATCGTGCTCGGCCACCAAACTTATTTAACTGACTTTCAGCCTATCACTTAATAAATGCAACAAGTAGATCTAAAAGAAATATTTCAATTGTGGTTTATTTTAAGCTAATAAAGCCATATTCTAATAAAGTTATTCGAGTTTTGTCGATATTCAATGTTGAGTTATCGATAATAGTATCGATGCATGCTAAGCTTCTGTAAAAGAAATTGTAATGGCGGGAAGAGAAATATACGTTTGTAAAATAATTTTTGTTTACTGTGAGTGTTTAAAAAGTGGATACTTATTGAACAATTGAAAACGTTTCGCGCTTATTGTACATCTTTAGTGCACATATAAATGGCTACAATGAGTCCGCACAGACGCAAAACTTCGCCAAAGATCAAAACCAATATAATGCCAATAAACAAGCGCGGCTGGAGAGCCGTATTTCGGACACCTGCCTCGCGTACAGTCCAATACGTTTATAAAATAAGTTTTGTTTACTGTGAGTGTTTAAAAAATGGATACTTATTGAACAATTGAAAACGTTTCGCGCTTATTGTACATCGTTGGTGTACATATAAATAAATATACAATAAGTCCGCACAGACTCCAAGCACTTGTACAAGAAATTATAATGGCGGCAAGAAAAGTATACGTTTACAAATAAATTTACGTTTACTGTTAGTGTTTAAAAAATGCACATTTATTGACGAAACTGAAAAGTTTCGCGCTTATTGTACATCTTTGGTGTACATATAAATGGCTACAATGAGTCCGTACAGACCCAAAACTTCGCCAAAGATCAGAACCAATATCATGCCAATGAACAAGCGCGGCTGGAGAGCCGTATTTCGCACACCTGCCTCGCCCACAACTCCAATTGTGTAGCCAGCCGACAGACCACAGAATCCGACCGACATGCCGGCCCAGAACTGTACGTAGCCCTTGACCAAGGGGTAAGTCTCGGAAGTGTTTAGCGAGCCAGCAATTAATATGGAGACGACGAGACCGTAAATCGCAACGATGCCAGCCATAACGACAGGAATCATGGATTTCATGATTAACTCGGGTCGCATGACCGCCGTCGCTGCAATTCCAGAACCCGCTACGGCCGTTCCATAGGAGGCGCCCATCGCTGTGAAGACAATGGATGTAACTGCGCCCATGATGCCATAGAACGGCCCATATGGGGGGTGGTAGATCAGTTGGGCGACTTCCATCCTGAAACGCTCTGTGTCATCCATCTTTGCGGGTAAGTGCTCGTTCAATCTTTACTTAACAAAATCGACAAAGTCGTTCGGATATCTTTAGTTTTATTTTAATTTAAATCACAAAACAGCAAAAGCAAATGCTACTTAAATAATAAACTACAAGCTAAGTAGTGCTGTAAACGGAAATTACTTATGAAATAAATATAAAAGAAGGGGAATAAGTGTAATAAAGCTTGTTTCTAAAAGAAGAAATCGGACATTAATTCAACACATTATTTGAAAATATATAAAGTAAATATGAATAGTATATACTTTTTAAAAGATAGTACATATATTTACAAATGATTGTTCAGTTCAACTTGAAAAGTAAAATGCCTGTACAAATCTTATTTGATTAACGAACAATGAGATACAGAAATGATTAATAAATGCTTGCCATAAAGTCGGAAGAACTAATTGCCGTTCCAGTTTACTGTCAATATTCCAATTTATGGAAAATGTTGCACTGTTGTTCAAACTTTAGATCAAATTTTCGATTATGATTAGATTTGAAAACCTTATCCAACTCAAAATTCTTAATGCGTTAAGGCGTGGGACAATATTGAGGGTTCACTGTGAACGGAATTTGGCTTAGAACGGTCGCAAGTTGCTCAGCAACGTTTGCTGGGCCGGCGGAAATGCTGCGGCCGCTGGCATCCCATATGGAGACGGGGTCGTTGTGGCCATGGCCAATGCCAGTGGCTGTGGTTTGGCTGCCATCGTTGTTGATGCTGTTGTAGTTGCCGTTGCCGTTGCTGCAGCTGTGGCTGTGACTGTTGCCGGAAATGCTGGCGCTCCGTCTAACGGTCTGTACTGACATTTCTTGGCATGTGTGCGCATGTTGCTGGATTGCGTGAAGGCCTGATTGCAATTCGGATGTGGACAGACATACGGTTTGCAGCCAGTGTGGTAATTAAGATGTGTCTTCAGGTGATGCTTCTTGGTAAAGGCCTTCGGACAGAGGGGGCAGCTGAAGGGCTTAATGCCCGAGTGCAGGCGATGATGCAATGTCATGTTGCTGCGATCGGCAAAGGACTTGCCACACACAGAGCACTGATACGGTTTCTCGCCGCTGTGGGTGCGCATGTGCTGTTTGAGCAGCATCTTGCGGGAGAAACGCTTGCCACATTCCGCACACTTGTGCGGCTTAACGCCCGTATGTATGCGCACGTGCATGTTGAAGGCAACGCGCTGGTTGAAGGACTTGGGGCAATAGGGGCACTCATATTCCTTGCGATTGCGATGGATCTTCATGTGACTGCTCAGATAGCCCTTGTCGTTGAAGGTCTTGCCGCATTCGGGACACTCTGCAGCAAACTCCTTGGTGCCGCGATGCACGGACAGATGATACTTGTAGTTGCGCAGCTGGGAAAACCCTTTGCCGCAGTCCGTGCACTCGTAGCGTGGTGATTTGTGCGTCTTCTCGTGCGCCTGCATTAAAAAAGCGAGAAAGAGAGCGGAAATTAATGAAAGATCGTTCATTGGTCGTGGGCAGCCATTTTGTTTCGTTTTCTGCCTACACTCTCTCGCTGCCTCTTTCTAACAAATGTCTTTAGACGCACCCATGCGTAAAACCAGTTCGCTGCGCCTCCATTTTTATGATCCGATGCCTGCTCACTATCTGCCTCGACTCTCAATTTGCATAAACAGCGCTCTCCTTACTCTCGCCCTACTCTCCCTCACTATCGCTCCGCCTAACTCTAAGACGATGCTCCACCCCATATTTGGAAACCTGCTCTTTAGCTTTAGTGGCAGAAAATATTGCGGAAGCTTAAGGAGTGGGGTCTTAGATATAGGGATGAGCTATTTATTTTAAATTTATTCTAAAAAATTAAAAAAGATTTGGTAGTACAGGCACAAAAGCATAGAGTACTACATGAACAACTCTAAGTTATAAAAAACAATGAAAGATATGTAAGATCTAAGCCTTTCTATTATTGATTAAAAAATGTAAAAATATTTCAGATGTATTTAATTAAGAATGATACTTCATGAAATCAAGAAAAACATTTTGATCTTAATACTTTGCTTTGAACGCATCTTCTTTTCGAACGAAGCTCTTAAGAAATTTTTTGTTTTTCGAATTCCTACAATGTGGCCGAGAAAGCTAAGGATCTATATTTCTACTTTTCTAAATCTCAATTGTATTACTTTACTGATCCGCAACAAGTTCTTGATTTATCCTTTTAATTTATAACCCATTTGCGTTAGCAATAGGTATAAACTAATTTTAACCATGAATCTGTTTATATTATCGGATATTTGAACTTTAATATAATACCTTAATTAATACTAATTCAATATTGAAATCTTTCTATTTTATCATCTATGTAGCAGTAATACAGATCATCTGGAATGATACCAGCACTCACATTATCTAAATAATTTATCAAACAAACAAAAATTAAGACTATCAAAAAAGCTAATCGTTTCGGGGTTAAAATAAGGTTCTTTAAAATTGTTGTTGCTCTATATTTTATACTCTTCAGTGGGAGTTTGCAATGTCCTTAAGAACGCATTGTACATCATATTTTCCCTACCAAGCGAATCTGTCTTTAATATGTTTTCTCAAGTCGGAATGAAAATTAATTGAAGCAATTTTTGAAATATCAAAGATTTTAGATTGTTTTTTCATATTTTTGGAACTTCAAATAACGTAGCTTTTCTAACATTTCGTCTAAAAAAAGCGTTAAGTTCCTACTATTATAGACTTTTTCAACTCACCTGCAAAGTTTCAGAGCAGCCGAAAACCTTGTCGCAAATACGGCACTTGTAGCTGATCTCCTCGGCGGCGACGGCGGCTCTGACGCCACTGCTGCTGATCCCAAAGCCGACGGAACTCGTCACACCACCGACTGCCTTGGCCATGGCGGCAGCCGTCGGCTGTGCCACCAAGCCATGATTGGAGCTGAGGCTCAGATTTGTCACGGTGGTTAGCGAGATGTTGGTGGCGGCGGCAGCGCTCAGCATCAGATCCCTGCCTGGTCGAGAGCTATTCGAGCTGACTGAGGAGGCGGCGGGCGATATCATAGGCGTGGCCTTATAGCCAACCCCATACTGTTTGTAATATTCCAGGCATTCGATGCAATCGGGGCGGGTGCAGGCAACGCTGGAGGCAAGATTGGTGGGTGGGCCTGACTTGGTGCGCTGATTATTGATGATGTAGGGCGCGAAGTAGCGTTTCTGCTGATACGGCGACGTGGGCGGGGTGCTGAGTCCTGCGGCGGCCGCTGCAGCCGCATAGGCAGGCAGTAGATGAGGAAAAAACTGCGCATAGAATTTGGTGGCATTGGCCATGGCCAGAAAATCGTGGGTCAGCATGGGATTTGGATACGCAAGTGTGGGTGTAATGGCCGAGTAGGTTAAAGCTGTGGCTGGTGGTTGTTGTCGCTCCTGCTGTTGTTGTTGTTGCTGCTGTTGTTGTTGTTGTTGCTGCTGTTGTTGTTGTTGTAGACTGCGCGTTTTTGAAAGATCCAAGATGTCGGATGTGGCCAAAGTTTTTGGAGCTGCCACAACATCCTTTTCTCCGCCCAAAATGCGGCTAATGCTGAAGTCCGTGACATGCGCCTGCGCTGGCGCCGCTGCCCCTACACCGGCGGCCGCCCCCTCAAGGCTGTTGGGCGTGGTGCGAGCTGGCGACGGCGCCACTTCGTAGCTACGCTGCAGCAAGGCATGTTTAAAGCCCATATTGGGATCGTTCATAGACTGAAATTATTTCGTTTGGGAATACGGAACGCGAGCTATCGAGCTGGAATATTGCGAGCGATCGAGCGCGCCAAACTGTCACGTTGCGCGTCAAAACTCGAAATGTGACGCTGTGGGGCTTACGAGAAGCCCACTACGTCTTAGCCTGAAGCCGAGATTAAGTCGAGAGCACTCACAACATATACACACGCACACACTCGCTCTCTCTCTCCCTTTCACTCGTTCACTCTTCCACATGCTCTTTTGTCGACTAAATTTAATTGGTCGAGCAACCGGTCCGGTCCATTCTGTGGCGCTCTCTGCCAATTAACTCCGATTGCCTGCCACTTCGTAGACAAACTGTCTCGCCTCCAATTACGCTTCGCTCTCTGCGCCCAGAGCCGCTCGCGAGCCATTTGGTAGTAGCATTTTACTAGTCACATCTATCATAACGTTTATCAACGAGAACATCGCCGCCGCCGCCGCCGCCACTCGTCGTCGTGTCTGTTCGTGGCTGAGCATCATCCTTTGCCTCTCATTCTCTCTGGGAGATCGCAGATAAGTGACTAAGATTTCTTTCTCCGCGTTTTTGTTGTAATTAATTGCGGTAATAAAATGTGCGCATCGTTAAATTTTCAAAATGTATTTCTCTTGTTTTCGTTGCCTGGTCTGTGTCTTCGGGCTCTGCCTTAGTACGAGTATGTGTGAATCTTACGGTTTATACACCTGGGCACCTTTTTAGCTCTGCGAGTTGCGCTCGTTCTGGTCACGAGCATGTGTGGTGCTTTGGCGGACGGCCTGAAGGTAGAGAGCGGAGAGAGACGAGCATGCAACTTCCTATGACATAATCAAATCACAAAGGACAGACAACGAAAAAGGCGCAGGCATAATTAAATAATGTAGCTTGAGAAATGAGATGTTTCGGGAAACATACATATACAAGTAGATCTTATTTAGGGAGTGTTTGGGTAAAAAGCGTAAATTAAATACATTTGTAGGAAATTCTTGATCTTAAAAAAATGGTTCATTAGAAGTTATATGCATTTATTGACCGCAATTTTCTGCCACTTCTGGATACAGTTTACTAAAAACTCGTACTGGACTCTGGCCTGGATTTCACTCTCAATTGAATTATCTATTAATATACTTGTATTTAACATGAATTCAAATAAATATTGTCAAGTGCACAAACAAACTTGTAAGCCTATTTGCAGGTTTTGTGATTAAAATAGGCAGGGTACGAGCATTGAATAGAAATTTAAAAGGGATAAGTCAGCTAGATAATAAAAATCTATATTGCTTAAGCCGTTGAAGTCATTTATAAGAATTTGATTTGTAGAAACCAAAATTCTTAATTCTGTAAAAGGCAAGGAACACCTTCACGGGGTGATTTACTCAAAAAGAAATCCATTCTATCATATAAATAATCGCCTCTAGAATATAACTTAAGCCTAGCAAAGTTAGTAATACTTTTACTTAAAGATTTAGCTTTTTTAAATAATCTAACTAGCAATATAACTAGAATTAAGTTTTACTCTACTATTTACTTTTTTTTAGTTTTCTTGGTCAATTAACTTATCTTGCTACATTTGGCTGTGAATTGGGGACGGAAGGCAAACAACATTTATTATATAAAAAATATATTTGGAAAATTTTAATGTAGGTTTTTCTAGGAGTTCGATTTCCCATAGCCCATTCTTAATTAGCTTCTAAAACGCACTCTAAATTATGTTTAACCTGCTCATTAACCTATCTGTGATAGGTTTGCAGAACCACATCGGAAGATCTATTTATATTTATTTTTAAGCCCTTGTTTCACTTATGTTTAGTGATAAGTCTATACTAGTTCGTATTTAATTCATCCTTTTAATATAAAAGCGAATTAGTTTACGAGAATTTTTCTAAAATATTAGCATAGCCACCCTCAAATTATAAAGAATATATTATGTTGTAAAGAATGTGAGATACAGAGGGAAACATCCTTAAAGTATATATTCTTAATTAGGATGACATATCGGGGTGTCTGTCTGGATGAACCGCTGCATTTCGAAAACGGTTCAACCCAAATTAGCCAAACTTGCTTTGGAGACTCACCTAGTCTCTAGTTAACATGGGTTTATTATAATTTTTTGAATTTTCCAGATGACTTTTATGCGAGATGTAGCTTTAGCTTTCAACATTCAAAACAGATTTCATAGTAACAAACATATGCCTTTTCTTTAGAAAGATATTCATGTGGGGATGATGGCCAATCAAATATCTCTGCTTCACAATATTTATGAGAAATAAGGCGTTTAGACTTAAAATTATATTGGAAATATGGGAACACATTTAGTGCCTGGCAATTTATGACGGCTATGAGTAATTATTATTGGAAATGATGTACAAGCTAATGTTATAAAATTCTGGAATTGCATATTATTATAAGCACAGAGTTCCCCTCATACATATGTATAGAGAATTCAACCATAATTTAAAGAACCTGCCAGTCAGAAGTCTGAACTAAAGTTCTGTAAAGTTAGGCTGCATAGCACCAGTAGCCTCCATAAAAATGTGCAAAACAAAACTGTATTGGCTGAAATCCAAGCTGGGCACATAAATAACTGCTGCAGACAGGATCCAGAAAGAGGAGCTACAAGAAACAAGAAGGAGCACAACGTTGACACAACAAATTTCAAGGAAATGCGAGGTGATTGCAAAAGATGAAGTGGTATCCATTTTAGGTGCATTTTTTATGTGCTAAGCTGCTGCGACCGCACACGAACCAGTTGTGGAACTTTGCTCCAATTGCACAGCCAATTAGAAGGCATCATCAGACATACATTAAGTGCTATTCTCGTATCTTGTTAACCATTTGTTTGCTATCACTTACACAACGCGATGCTTATCACTAACTACGGTGGCACTACAGTGGTAATAGATAGACAGCTAATGCTAGCCATGATCGATGATGGTCCGTCCCACTGTCAACACGCGCTGCTGCCTATGCACCCTAAACTGCATAAATTTCAATTATACAGACGATTAATTATAATTATCTAAAGCCCCCAAAAAAAAAAAACACAAAACTTCTTGAACCCTGCTTTCCTGCCTTTAATTTTGTTTCTTTCTCGCAGCATTGATTCGTGGAATTCCGCACGATCATATACATATACAAACATACTCTCACACGCACACAGAAATTCAGAGCGCAGAAGAAACTTTAAATTTTAATTACACTCACTAAATCATCGACTCGGCCCGTACCTCTACCTCTATGCTCCGGTCAGCGTCCGAGAGAGCGCAGCAGCTCTGGGTCTGTCTTTGTCGCATGACTAATGTTTATGAACTGCTAATGGTTTGTTTTACAAAAGCAAGAGCCAGCCAGAGGTAGAGGCTGCGGCTGCGGCAGAGGCAGAGACATCGCAACAAACTGTTTCACCCGTTGACATTTTGACAAATTTTCACATACTACCGTCCATGTGGCTCGGCTCCACCATGGGCTCCAATGTAAGCTGATACCTATCTGCCTATGGTGCTTTACTGCCTGTCTGTCTTGCAGCCTCTCTCTCTCTCTCTCTCCTGCTCTCTCGTTCGCCACAGTCTCTTTTTCAGCGTATTTGTATGGTACATCGTTCACACTATTAATTTTCCGCTCGTTTTTCGCCCCACCTGTTGTTGCTGTTTCTGTTTCTGTTATTGTCTTTGTTATTGTTTTTGTCGTCGTCGTCTTCTGTGTCTTCGTCCATCCATGGGGTGGTCGGTATTTATCACATTTTGTGTGCGCTTAACTCTTTCACTTTGTTGAACCTTTAATGTCATGTGTTATCGGATAATGATCAGTCGTTGCCAAGTGATTTTCTGTCAGCGGGTGTTCGCTCTTCTTCGACTCTTCGGCTCTCCCCACTCTCCTCGACTCTGTTTAATTGCCGTTGCCCTTTCGAATTTGGGATTGCGTGTGTCGTGTTGTTTGTGTAGCTTGACTAATATGTTGATTTGCGAATGCCGAGTTCTCCTGGACAAGAGTCCCTAATAATATTTATGCCTTTTGCATTTCCAAAATCTAACCGAAACGATGTAAGAATTTATTTTCATTTGTGCCGAAGTTATATACCCTACAAATACTTTACTCCTTCAGGATCATCTAATTACATACTAGTTCCAATAAAAATAGAGATTGTTTATGCAAAAATATATTTTCAAATTAGGAGAAGTAGTTATTGAAAGAGACGGATGGATATCAAGATTGGGATTTGTCTCCTCCATTTAATTATGTGTATATTCTTCGTTTTGGGTATTAAAAACATACACACCAAAAATAATATGCCCTAAACATTTTCAGTAAAGGTTATGAAAACAAATGAAACACTACTTCGGAGTATTTTTAATTTCATGTATATTTTACAGCACTTCAATTAAAAATACGATTGTCTTTATATGTGCACTCTTTCAAAATAATTGCAGAAAAGTAAATGATAATTCAACAAGCCGGTTCTCTTAAAAATTTGCTTATATCACTTTTTTATGGGACGGCTGGTAATCAGTTGATTTCAAAAATTATGAATAAAATTAATCACAATCCAAGTCGGTACGATAAGTAAAGGTATCCAATACCTAAATTGTATTGTAATAGAAATACAGAAATCAGATTCAGATATTTTTATTAAGTCAATAAACAGATTGAAATTGCAACCAATAATACTAATCTGAAAAAACTTTACTTTCTGATCAGCTTTTTTTATCATAGTCGTATTGACAGCATTCTGTGTCTGTTGAAGCCAGATTATTACTTTTAGCAATCGCTGAGCATCAGTTTTTATATCACATTAACTTTAATTTATTAAACAAATACATACTGCTCCAATTGATTTTCCAAAATCTTCTACCTTATCTTATAGGCTTCTAGTTATAAGTTTAAAATGAAAAAAAACCATCTACAGAATTTACAAATATTGGATAAGCTGATCATATTTAACAATTGGTTAACTAATTGTTCCGCTTATTCTAATGATAGCAGCTCTAGA